CTCTCTCTCTCTCTCTCTCTCTCTCTCTCTCTCTCTCTCTCTCTCTCTCTCTCTCTCCCTCTCTCTCTCTCTCTCTCTCTCTCTCTCTCTTTCTCTTTCCCTCTCTCTCTCAATTTTATTTAAAAAATTACTTTTATTAAAAGTTTTAGATAAAGCTGCAGCTCTCAAGGTCTTATTTCCTTAAAAACTCTCTGTCCTATAGGACGGAAACCATCTCCTCTACCCTTCAAGTAATTTTTCAGAATTTTTCAGCAGCAGTAACACTGGAACGGGATCTAAGAAGTCCTTATGGCAGAGATGTCCAGCCTTGGCCACTTTAAGACTTAAGTCTTAAAGTGGCCAGGATTGGACATCCCTGCCTTATGGCTTTGGCAGACGTGACACAGAAAAATTGTCCGTGTTCTTTCCTGGGATGAAAAGCAACTTGGGGTCTCCACTCTTAAGGTCCCAAGAAAGCATAATCTTGGTGCAACGTGATTACAGCAGAATAGCAGCAACCTTAATTTTGGGTGGGGGTGCAGACACCCCTGGAAAATGGGTCCTTCTGCATGAGGCCTGAGCCTTCTTACCTTGTCTTAACAGGTGCAACACCCAAGATGTCCATTCCGCTGCCGGACCCTTTCAAGCTGAGCCAGGCTGAACGGATCCTCCTCCTCTTCTTCTCTTGCTCCTTACGTTTCCCGGGCTTCCCTTTTTTCTTCTTTCCTGGGGTCTTCAGGGGCTGCTCCTTGTACGGTTGCGTCTTGTTGGTCTCCTGGGTCAGGTTTTTGCCTTCGTCGTCCACGCCGAAGCGGAGAGGGTAGCTTTTGGCAGGGACCACCGCGGGTTTCGGGTTTGGCGATACCTCTGAGACAGCTCGGATCTCGGCCGTGTTCACCCCTTCAATTAGGTTTTGCAGGAAGTGGCGCCTTCGGATATCTTGCATCGACTTCCCCTTGTCATGCAGCAGTTGGTATTCGGCCACTGTCCTTTTGCTGCTCAAAAACAAACAGACAAACAAAAAAAGCAAACCCGTTAAAAAGCATTCATGGACACGAAATGAAGTTGTCGAGCCTGTTTGGAAGAAACAAAACAAAACACCAACGTTTTCTTTTTGTATAGCATAATCCCCGGAGCGAAAAGAGTCCAGCGTATCTGTCAAAGTTATGATTTAACAGCTAAACAGCTTATGTAATGATGTAATGTAAGGTGGATGATGCAATGATAGGAATGACTCAGCAGGGTCTGTGTCTGTATCCCTTTAAGAGCCTGAGTATAAAAGGGAAGGCTTTTTGCTGCTGTCTTTTCTCTCATCCGTTTCCTGCTGTAATTGCTGCGTGTTGGAGTTTGCTGTATTACCACGTGTATGTGTTTTGTTCCTGGTGTATATCGTAGATCAGGCGTCTTCAAACTGGGCAACTTTAAGACTTGTGGACTTCAACTCCCAGAATTCTGGGAGTTGAAGTCCACAAGTCTGAAAGTTGCCAAGTTTGAAGACCACTGTTGTAGAGAGGGTAATATAAGCCACCATTTAATATAGACCACTGTTTACTGTATTTACTCCTGGGTTATCTCAGCGCAATAAGACTGGGCATGCTCTGACAATATCCCACATTCTCTCTTGACTAATCAAGCCATACAGCGCCCCCCCCCCCCCAGTTTTTGATATAAGCTGCTATTATAAACCTGAAGTGGTAATAACATTGCTTTTGTATCTGTTTGGACTGATTTAGCTTTCAGTATATGTCCAACTCTCAGTGACATTTGAGAGGATTTCATTCTATCCTTGATATGTTTCACTAAAGTAATATTAGTCTATAGTAGCCTCAAATCTGAAGAGGTTTGCTGTCCTTCAACATGTCCAAGATATTAGGTCATGTGATCCCCTTCTGACAAGCAAAGACAATGGGGAAACTAGATTCAGTTTACATCTATATTAGTAACTTAACAACTGCAGTGATT